ATCTTAGGCGGTGTTTCATGATCATGGCCTCGATGCTGGTGATGTTGGCTCTTTCAAGGACTGCAGTATTGGACACATAGTCGTTCCATTTGATTTTCATTATTGCTCTCAGTTTTTTTCTGGTGGAATTGCTCCAGTTTTTTTAGATCCCTACTATAAAGGGTCCAAGTGTCACATGCATATAACATGGTTGATACTATAATGGTGTTATATACCATCACCTTTGTATGGGTGGTTAAGTCTTTGTTCTTGAACACCCTGGTGGATAGTCTCCCATAAGCAGTGTGGCCAGCTTGTAACCTGTTTTCGATCTCTTTGGAGGAGGTGCTCTGGGTGGAAAGGATGCTTCCCAGGTATAGGAAATGTTTGACGCATTCAATGGTGGTTCCATCCATGGTGATGTTAGTTACAGGTGTATTCTCCCCTGGTCGTGGTTGGGCCAATATCTTAGTTTTGGCCTTGTTAACTGTTAGGCCAAAACATGTGTAGGCAGCATGGAAATTATCCACCGATTCTTGGAGCTCTGCTTGAGTGTGGGCTACGGCAGCGTTGTCATCTGCATACTGTAGTTCCGTCACATTGATGGGGTTGATATTCCCGCTGTGAACTGAGTCTGGCCAGTATGAAATTCCTCCATCTAATCTGTATTTTTATCTCAACCCCTGGGTTGTTGTGGGTACTTCATATAGCATGGCAGCTAAGTAAAAGAAAGAGAAAAGGTCGTCGGCCCCATTACACATCCTTGTTTTAGTCCACATGTGATTGGGAAGGGGGCTGACAGGTTACTTTGATGGATTACTTTAGCTGTCATCCCATCAAGTAGGGCTTTGATCATGTCAACAAAAGGCTCAGGGACTCCAAAGCAATTGAGGACAGACCACATGACTGTTCTTGGTACACTGTCAAATGCTTTTTCCAGGTCGTAGAAAATTAGGAATATGGGTTTTTGCTGTTCTTTTTATTTCCTGTTTTGTTTTTGGCGAGCACAGAAAAATCATGTCTATGGTTGTCTAGACGGGCGGAAACCACATGGGATTCTGGCAAGATCATTTCTGCTACAATTTGTGTAATTATTTAGTAGGATCCTTGCCAAAGATCTTCCCTGCAAATTGATAGCAAGGATATCCCTCTATAATTCCCACATTCTTTTCTATCTCCTTTTTGAAGATGGTGACAAGGAGTGCGTCTTTTCAATCATTGGGAGCCTGTTTATTTCCATGCTTTTAGTATGAGGGATGAAGGCGAACACGCCTTCAGAACTAAACCTCCGTGGGTCAGGAACTCAGTAGGAATGTTGTCCAGTCCCGCGGCCTTCCCATGGCGCATTTGTTTCAGTGCTGCATCAAATTCTCGAAATGGTGGTAGGGACATCCATAGTTGGGGTGGGTGTTGTGGTACATTTCGGAGGAAGTCTTGTTGAGCTGATGAGTTCCTGTTCAGGAGGGTGTTGAAGTGTTCTACCCAACGGTTCTAGATCTCATGGTCTTCCGTGAGGATGGTGTTGTCCACTGTCAAAAGTGTCCCTGCAGCAGTGTCCTTGGGTCCGAAAATTTTCTTTATGCCTTCAAAGAAGCTTTTGAGGTCCTACTGTCAGCATAACCTTGTAGGTCTTAAGCCATTTGCTGCTACCCTCATTTCATTTCCCGAAGCCTTGGCTTGACACTATGACTTAGCTTGTGCATATTTAGCCATCTTTGGTTGGGAATTAGGGTCTTAGTCATGGGAATTCGGGCTTTCCGTTCTGGTGTTTAATGAGGGCCTCAATATCTTTGTCATTGTCGTCAAACCAATCCTGGTGCTGTTTGCTCTGATAGCCGATTACGGTTCTTGCAGTTTCATTGATGGCATCTCATATGTTAGTCCATTCAGCGTCGACTGAAAGTTCTCTGGCTGGTAGGTTCTGCTGGATTGCTGCTTGGAAAGCTCGTGATGTATCAGGATCTTTTAATTTGCCAGTGTCATATCTTCCTTCTCTTTTGTTGGATGTTACTGACTTCCTTTTGATGGTTAGTTTTTAAAGCGTTTTAAGCAAGGGAGCGCTTGGCAAGAATTCTTGCCAAGCGCTGTACCATTCCCTGCTTAAAACGCTTTCCAAGGCAGGCAGGCCTTCTTCAGTGATGCCAGACATGTGGAAATATCTATTTATAAAGTACAAATCATAACAGTCCTTGATGAGCATAGAAATATCAAAATAACACACGAAATATACATGCTTGGGTTTTAAAAGCAATATTCCCACCAACAATCTCAGAAAGAGATAACTTATACACAAGTCGAGGGTGGAGTTTATTTCACCTGCGGTTGGTAACAGTTTGAGCACGCAATTCAAAACAACTGACAAGCTAGCGCCGCATCAAGATGGCAGAGAAGTAAATAAATCTACCCAAACATCTTAACAAAGCGCTATATTTTCTCCTATATTCATATAAAATACCTCTAAAACAATGACACAACACTTCCGATGGTTGACAGCCCTTTCATTCTGACGTGTTATTAAAAAACAAATGAATATCCCTGAATTAAAATATAGGCCTACCCATTCCCATATATCCGATTTTATGATGTTAAATATAACAAATCATCGAATATAATATCAACAGAAAAATGTTGCTAGAATTTCTCAGACTTTTTCACTTGAAATATTCTAAATTTCATAAAATAGCAATAATTCTCGATTTAGAAAGACGAAAAGTTTAACAATAAGAGGAAAATTGTTCGTCTTATAATCATTTATTATTCATAAAACTTTTATTCCCATAATCTCCATTATCTTACTTCGTTTTCAGTTAATTTTCAATTTCTTTGAAATGATTTTAAGAAAATTACAGAATCAGATACCGTGAAAAAAATTATCTATCTGATAAGATATAAGCGGAGTTTCTGGCCAACTCCGCATTTTCGAAGGATCGTGACCAGTACGGTACACGAGGACGACCGCCATGCCATGGTGACAGTACACCGCTTGACTTAGCAAGCGCAAGTTAGTTAAGCCATCTACGGAGGTCGCTTGAGAAAGCAAGTGAAATGCTTGAGTTAGCAAGAAAAACGCTTGAGATTTCAGGCAAGAACTTTCCCTGCTTAAAAATGCTTTTAGTTTTTGATGAGTAGCCGGTGATCTCTCAAGCATCATCAGCTCCGGGCATGCTCTAGTGATTAAAACCCTCATTTTTGTGTTGTTTGTCTGACAATGGCATAATCTAAGATATGGCAGTGTTTTGATCTAGGATGATTCCCAGGTGTGTCTTAAATCGTTCGGTAGTCCGAACTGCTTGATTGTGATGAATAGTTAATGTTCAGCACAGAGGCAAGGAGAGGAGGCCATTATCATTTGCAGTTTCCCCATGCCTTGCTTGGCCGATTATGTTGCGCCAGATTTCATGTTCTCGACGCCTACTCTGGCATTAAAAATCCCCCTAAAGAGAAGCAGACGGTCCCCAGCTGGAATTTGAGATATGACAGTGTTAAGCTGTTAGTAGAAGGCACCTTTGACATGGTCTTCCGCATCTAGGTTGGGCGTAACACTGATATTAGCGTGATGAACTGATTTTTTTGTGGAGAGTGGTAGCTCTTAGTAAGGTGATTCTTTCATTGATCGCATTTGGTGTCAGGTTATGGGCTTTACTAAATTGGTCTTAACTGCAAAGCCCACACCCTGGGAGCGTGGTCTTCCGGGTTTTTCCCTTTCCATAAGAAAGTATATCCTGACCCAACTTCTGTGATTTGCCCCTTCACCAAGTAATTTAGTCTTGCTTAGAGCAGCCACATCAATGTTGAATCTGGTGAGTTCTCTGGAGAACTAAGGCTGTTCGCCTTTCAGGGTGATCTGTGTCTCTGCATCCATAAGGGTGCGCACATTCATGCACCTACTTTGAGTTATTATATAATGTTTCCTTCTTTCACGACTGCCATAATTACAGTGGGGTCATTGGGTACAGTTGCCCAATGACTGAATATGGTGTGTGTGACCACCGATGTTTAGCCCACCTTTTACAGGGCTGCCTTCCAAGTTGGGGGTGAGCAAGCGGCAGGGACTCCTGAATAGGCCTGCTCAGTCATTAGTGTAGACCGAGTCCCTTGTGGTCACGTCACAAGCAGAAGCCGGCCATCACACACCTGCTCCAGTGTGTAGTCCAGGCTAAGAGCTTCCAGCTACACCAAGCCTACTCCCACCACCCTTGTCCAATTGCCCATCTGGTCTCTTTATAGGTAGGGGTTAGGAGAGAGAAGAAAAAAGGACGATAATTGTAACTGACGCCAGTTAGAGGAGACAGTAGTTGGACTGAAAAGGCCGTTTGGCGTGACTTGTGTTTAGGTTGGACAACAATTTGCCAAAGTGATTCCCACACACTCTGCTCCACACCTTCCTCTGTGGCACACAGGTTGACTACGTACAAGACTGTGGTGTGGAGCTGCATCGGTCTGCGATAATCTAGTCCACCTAGATCTCGCCTTACAAGCCAGACCGACGGCATGGTTTTAATTCAGAGCGCTTTCCTTCACCTAGCTTTACCTAAGGAGGCATATCCCTACAAAGGCACCAGGGGGGTCTGATTATACGGTCAGACACGTTCGGTCACTTTGTTCATCTCCGTGTTAATAAAACAGGGACATGCAGGAAGGTAGCATGCAAAGTAGTAAAGAGGAGACGCTGTACGTGATGGTTAAGAACTTAACTTAGTCTTATGCCTCCTAAGACGCATGCACTCTAATCACCCCCCCAAGTATACTATATATATATATTTCCCTCTATATATTATATATTTTATTACCATCTCTATATTTAATATTTATAAATTCTGCTCTCTCTCTCTCACCTCTCTCCTGTACTCTTTCTCTCTCCTCTCTCTCTCTTCTCTCTTTTCTCTCTTCTCTCTCTCCTCCTCATCTTCTCTATCATATATATTATACTATATATATAATTTTATATAATATACTAGTATATTATATATATTTATATAGATATATATTATTACTTATTTATATTAGTTTATATATATATATATTTATATATATTATTTTACACACGCATTCACAACACACAACAGACACACATATTATTATTATATAATATATAGTTATATATATATATATTTATATATTATATATATATATTATTACTAATATATATGATATTCATCACACATTATATAAAATATATAGTGCAATATCATATATATACATATACTGTATATACATATACGATATATTATACCACACACAATATATATATATACGTGATATACTATAGTATATATATATATATATTTATAAGATAGTAGTCGGTGTATATATATTATATATATAATATAATATATATATTTATGCTCATAGGTATGTATGTATATAGAGAGAGAAACGACAGACAGTTACTATATAACAATTTACATATACATCATAGCATATAGTAATATAACCTAATATATATAACACATTATATATATCTATACCAGTTTATTAAGATATATATTATACCATTATACGTAGTACATGTGTAAATAATATAATACGATATTATATGATACCATATATTATATACATATATATATATATACTATATATATAATACAACATATTATACATAAATATAACATTATATATATTATTAAAATCTTATAACCATATATATATTATACACATTAGCTATTATATAAATATATACATATTATATATAATATATATATATTACAATATCCCATATATATATATATATATAATATATATATATATATATATATAATATTATATAATGTATATATATGTATATATATATAATACATATATACTATATTATTATATATATAATTGGAACATAGTTATATATATATATTACACAATATATATACAATTATATAATATTAATATATATTTATATAGTATACACTGCAGTGTGACACCATGCATTAATATATATACACACACATATATTACACTATATTAATTATTGATACGTATATACGTATACATATTATATATATCATATATCTAATATATAACATACATATTATATACTCATCATATTATCAGTCTGATACCATTTATTAATATTTATATATATTATTCAATAATACACTAGACTAACTATATACAAATAATATATATTATATAATATAATATACATTAATATATATATGTATACATATATATATATATATTATAAAGTTAAGTTATATGATATACACATATATAACATATAATATATATTAATATATACTACATATATATATTACAATAATATAATATACATTTACCATATTATATATATATATATATAATATAAATATAGTATATTATGATCATATATACTATACTATATAATATATTTTAATATATGATTTACATATATATATATATATATTATATATATATATCATGTGTTATATTATATCTTATATTATATATAATATATATTATATATATATATATATATATATATATATTAATATAGATTGATAGATTGATAGACTAGAGTAGATATACCAGTGTATATATACTATAGTTTATTATATCTTATAATATAGATTTATATATATATTAATATATATATTTATATTAGATATATATATGACCGTTGATGGGTTGTTGAGTGAGTATTGCTTTATGTGTCTTGTGTGTATTTGGTGTTGTGTGTGTGTGTTGTGGTTGTGTGGCTGTGTGTACACATATATCATTGTTTAAATGATGTGTTATACTATTATATATGATTATATATATATATTAGATATAATATATAATTTATATATATATATATATATTATTATAGTAAAATAGTATATATATATTATTATATAATACTTATACCTCGTACCTACTCTATATATCTCTGATCGAATGTTTATCTATTAAATTTATATATTATATATATATATAATTATATATAGATTATTATTAATATATAATATATTAAAAATTTTATATATCTATTATTATATATTATATATTAAAATATATATCTATATCTATCTATATATATATATAAAATGTATAGTATATATTATATATATAAAATTAATTATATTTGGTTCTCTTATTATATATTATAATATATATAACTTATATTATATTAAAATCTATCTATCTTTATATATAATTAAAATCTTAATTATAATTTCGCATATTATATAATACATGTTTCTCTTATTGATTATGGTTTTTCATATATATCTATATATACATATTATATATTTACATAAAAATTATATTATTATTATAATTTTTTATTATATATATAATTTATATATATTATATTTATTATTTATAATACGTATATATATAAATGGTAGTATAATATATATTATATATATATATAATTACTATATATATTATATTATATAATATATATATATAATATATATATATATATTATAGTATATTATTATATATATAAACTTGCTAAATATAGTATATACTTTATTATATATTACATTATATGTGTTATATATTATATATATGTATATCTATCTAATAATTATATATTAACTAATATATTAAATATTATAATATATATATAATTGTATATATATTTATATTATATCTCATTATAATTATATAATAATAGTATATATATTATTTATCTATATATATAATTAATTATACCCTATATAATATAAAAGGAGTGAGACACTTAGCGACGTGTGCTATACAGGCATCCATAGACATCATAAATTGCTAGTGGTATTGCATTATTCATCTTTCATAGAATTGCCAACCTCAGCGGTATCTTGATTTTTGTATTGTCCTGCTCTGTCCATAATACCCGAGTGCCCAACGGGGAGTGAGTGTTGAAACTTCGCTATCTCTTACCTCACGTCTATGAGTAGGTAATCGTAATGATTGTAATCTATGTGGATTTGGTTAGGCTAAAGCGCCTAGTTGCGTCACTCCTTTGAGTGGCTGTACTAGGATTTTGAAACCGAGTGTAAGAAAAGTGGCCGTCTTTAGCATTCACGTACATTTTTTGCTGGGCGAGGATCGAATATAAAAGTATATAGAAATATAGAATATATATATGTATATTATATACTGAATATATATCTATATATATAATATATATATATTATTATATATATATATAAATATATAATATTATATATTTATAGACTTATAATTATTATATATATTGTTATATATATTATTTATACATTTATATATTATTTAATATATATTTAATTAGTATATTATGATTATAATATTTAATATATTTATATATAATATATATATACATATATATATATATATATATATGTAATATATATACATATATATATGATTATGTAATACTATATACCATAATAATATTATATATCAAATATAACTTATATATATATATATATAATAAATATATAGATGATTATATATTATACAATAGTATATTATAACCTATTATATATTATATATAGTATATTATACAAGATATTATAGATATAAATATATATAATTATATATAATATATATGATAACATATATAAATATATAATTATATATAGTGATTATTATTAATATATATATAATATATATATATATAGTATATATAGTGTATTATATCTATATATATAATTATATATATATGTATGTTATGTATGTATTACATTACACAGACAGGAGGGTTTTTCGATATATCATTTATTGATTCATCACACTCTTTTCTGTAAACATCAGTCATTCATTTAGTGAGATGCCATGGGAATAGAGATTGAATTCACTAACTTTTAACCCTCATAGACAGTCAGTTGCACCTATTCTATTCACAGGACCTCAGTATCCTCATGTCATATGCTTATGCTGGTCTAGAGAGTGCTGCAATGGCTGCATTTATAAATGGGATTGAGTGCACAGCAGCGTCAGCCCAACAGGCCATAGACAGTGCTAAAGTAGAGGTAAGTTATTTTCAAAAGCTAGAAAATGTATAATTCATAACTACAAGTCATTGCACCCTTCATTTTAGCTAGCAACTTTAGTATTCATTTAGTTTATTTTTATTTCATTATATGTAATGTATTAAGAGGAATAAGATATATATTTCTAAATGGTTTTACAAGTGAAACTTTTGAGTATCAGTCACCACAGAATCAACAGGGCAGGTAATAAATAAGCTGCCCATGATGGCATACTATTTAGAGACATGTTCTGAGTTTGCTGTATATCAGTAAATTTAAAAAGAAGAGGACATTTACCATAGGAGCAGAATATTGTTATTAGTGAAAGCATTTTTCTATATGGCTTTAAATATTTGTAGAAGTTATATAGGCATGTATGTGATTTTTTTGTTAGTTCTCTTTCTAATACCATATTGAAGACCTCTTATATTTTGAGTCTTTCCCCCTAACCACCGAGGAAAATGTCAAACAAATTATTCATATCATAATATTTCGCCATAGAGTTGTCATCAAGAGGAAATCTGATGTACCTCTCTGCCTTTCAGTTGGAAAACAATGCTGCAAAGAATCTGGCTTTAGAAATGCAGTATAACAGCGCCTATGCACAATATATTGAGGCTTCACAGAAAATGGTAGAAGAGATGGAATCAGCTCAGGAAGAAAATTCAGTTGAGAACCAGGAAAAAGGGAATGAAAATGAGGAGAGATGACAAGTAGAAGACAGAAGTTCTGCTTAGGTTTCAACAATTTAATATCACTGAGGACTGAAGTGTAAGTTTAGACACCTCAGTGTCGTGGTGGCAAATATTGTAAAGACTGTACCATGTGTAGAATATGTATAAAATAAAGATGTAAGTTTCTGTGTTTTCTATTTATCTAAAATACAAAGAGCTCTAGTTCAAATTCAAAATGGATGAAGAAATCAGTTTATCTTTTGTACAAAGTATAAAAGAATACTTTCTTCTATGGGATATTTTCTTATAAGGATTTAAACATTTGCCTAATCCAGCAAGAAAAAGGAGGAAATACTAACTGCAAAAGTGTTATTAAAATCAACTAGAAGGGTGCTGCAAAATAAAGTGTATTTCCTACAACGGCAAACTAGAAGTGCTTGCTACCTGAGGTCAGGGGCACTTTAAATAGATGTACAGACATTTATCATATTTTGTATTGGTAATTTTTAATGTTGGCACTAATAATTGGCATTTGTTAAATAGTACTTCTATTTTATGCCCTTGTCATTAATTTTTTTTTATGAACTCATTGTATGAGCTTTACTTACATAAAAGATGCATAGTATTTGGTATTAAAAGTAATCTTGACTTGCGTGGGTGAGTTTATAATTTTTAAATGAGACTTGGGTGTCCACAGATTATGGTATTCCAAGGGCCCTGAAATCAACCCCTACTTAGGACTTATAGCATGAGCATGAGCAATACTTTTAATTATTCTTTGGCATTAGATATTGGAATGCCATTAGAAGAGGGTATTAGTACATATAAAGACCATCACTGTCCCATCCCCCATCCCATGCCCGTTGTTGTGGTGGAGCTTAGGATATATATGTCTAAAGCCCAATGTTGAAGATCTCCCCTACCGTGGGCCTCAGCACTCAGCTCTACTTACTGTGCATGCTCTTTTCTTCTCCCTCTTTCCTTTTTCTTCTCATCACCAATCCCTCCGTCTGTCCACTTCCTACGATGACAGAGTTGTATATAGGATATATTGTATAAAGGATAAAAGTTGTATAGGATATATATATATATATAGGATAGTTGTATAGGATATATATATAGGATATATTGTATAAAGGATAAATAGATATATAATATATATAGGATATATTGTATAAAGGATAAAAGGCTGGCTTTGAGTCAGCCCTGAATGGTCTCAGGAAGTCTTGGTCATGGTATTCCTGTTCAGATATATAGCTTTTACCCCTCATGGGGACCCTGTGGAGTGAACCATTTCTCTTCCCCATACAGTTCAGGCTTACCATGTCCAATAGTGATTTTGTACCTTTATAAGGGACATTTAGGCTCGCCCCTTTATGAACTAGCCCCACTGACTTTTAAGTTTTCCGGTTCCCTGACCCCTGACTTTCCTTGAATCAGGACACTGAACCCTACTACTACTACTATCCTCTCCTTGACCTGCTCTCCATATCCTCATCCTCCATAATTTTCTTAATTTCCAACCCTCTCCTCCCTTATACTTCATCTTCATCATTATACTCCACCTCCCCACAGTTGACCTCATTCAACACCAACACTTCATCCTTCAAACACTTCCACCTCTACAAATCTTTTGAATGCTAATTTTTTTTTTCTTTTCTTTTTTTTCTTTTCTTTTTTCTTTTTTTTAGTGATTAGCTCTGCAACTCTTTTCTCCAGCAACATCCTCATAACCCAACAGTCCCAAGCTAGTACATTATCTACCCTAAATGACATCATTGGCAAACCTATTCCTACCCAGCCTTACTCCTTCCTTGATACTTGTATCAGAACTATTTCCATTTCCCCAGCTGATTGCCCTTCCTACAATAAGGATTGGTCAGACTGTGGAAACGACCTACTTGCCTATCACACTGACTATGATGCAGTAACAGTACATGATTGGTGGGTTTAACTTGTCCCTTCTGTGCATGTGCAGGATTTTAAAATAAGCTTAATATTAAAGCCTGGGTCTAGAGGTGCATTAAAAGTTGATCCTGGACGCTGCCAACGCACATGCGCACTAGAGATCTGGATTAAACTTTAATACTGGATTAACTTTTATGGCACGTATAGAAGACCCTTAACTCTTAATACCGTATTTAGTTTAATCCTAATCCACCGTGTCCGTACCGAAGACGACACTCTCTGCTGCCAGACGGCGCGACAATAATGTTCACTAAATGTCGTACTCACTATTCTATCACCACTGTTACCATGTAAACATGTCGGAGAGAAGAGAAGTGTCGCGTGTGAAATTCGCTCTTTGGGAGATTTTTTTTTTCTTTCTTTCTTTTTGTAATGTCATGTTTTTGGTAATCATATTTAAGAAACTATTTTAGACATCTCTTAGGTTTCAAAATATCTATTATATTTAACATGTATTTCATGAAACTGAGGCTCTTACTAAAGTTTTCATAATGCTAATTATTTTATGCCCTTTTTATCTCTGCAGTGCTTTGCCTTCTAATTGTTTAAAGTGTTCTGTAAATAATAATATAAACTTCTCAGATGCTTCTGAAGACCACCTTTTCCTTCCCTTCATCTCAGACGTACCTACATGATTGAAGACAAGGCATTAAAAACTTATTAATATTATTAATCAATTCTCTATGCCTCCCAATGTTCCCAAAATTGAAAACTAAACTAGCATCATATCAAAATAAGAAAGTTCGTATCTCTATTTTCTGTACACATTTCCTCAAGATTATCTGTTTCATATATGATTTGTTTGGAATCTGAAGTTAATGGACTGTCTCTTTAAATTTATATCAATTCTTGCGACGTTCCTGGTCTGTGATATAGTGATGGTTCTGCCCTCTGCTGTTGATGTGAAGATCTGGTCTCGTATTTCTGGGCGTGTCGGAATAGGTTTTACAAATCTAAAGGGTGGGAGCTGATGTATGTTGTCTTTTTATTGCTGAAAAAATTGTGGTATTTTAAAACGTTTCTGTGCAATGTTGCTCTTCACACATAACTTGCATGTTGTGTAGGGTAGCGTTTGGAGCAAGTCGTGCACTCATACCTGTAAATAAGCAACAAAATCATCCAAAAGATATCTAATCAACATTCACCCTTCATGTCCCTACGCATATGATATAGAAGACAGTTTTATAGATATTACCTAAAGATTTGCATTCCGATATAAAATTTACTTGGATAAATTAACCTTGCAATTTATATTTAGATACTGCATTGTTAAAAGATTTTTTTTGACAACTGATATTCATCTTTATAGATTGGAGAAAAGGTGATTGTTATAGAAAGTTGTAGTCAGTCACTCAAGATGCAGTTTGATCTTCATATGATAATAACGAGGCGCAAGTAGGCTTACTTATAAAGGAAACATGGTTATGAAATATTCTAATTTCTTTCATGATAACGATCTTATATTTATAGTAGTAAAATGGGTAACGAAACTGCACTAATAACTATAAAACAAATCTTTATTTCAATGACACTCAATTACATAAATGACATTCACCAATTAATATCCATCGCGCAGTTTCCTCGGACAGCTCTTTGCTGCGTTGAATCGTGTTGGAGGAGGGAAACATGTTTCCTTCAGGATGCTGTTCAGGAGGTCCATAGAAAAGTATACTTGTTAATTTTGTAGTAAAGTAGTTGAGAAAACTCAGCACATAATTCTTCCTCAAAACAATGGTTCATACTTGATTTAAAACGTCAACTTGTGTGACCTTGACCATATACATTTTGTTTCACTAACCTGGAAATATGAGTTCCATGCCCGCAGCCTCTGAACTTCAAAGATTCCTCTGGGGATTATATTGGTTTTTATATTAATTACCATAAATTATTTACTTTATCAGAATATTTGATGATTTGTGTAAATATATAAATTTTTTTATAATAAATACTAAGTATGAAAATTCGATCGATGTTTTGCCGAAAAACTAATGGAATGGCTACCCATGAAGTACATGACGGACACGTGACGTAACAGTACATGGCTGGTGGGATAAACTGGTCCCTTCTGCGCATGTGCAGGATTTAATAAATTAGCTTAATATTAAAGCCTGGGTCTAGAGGTGCATTAAAAGTTGATCCTGGACGCTGCCAACGCGCATGCGCACTAGAGATCTGGATTAAACTTTAATACTGGATTAACTTTTATGGCACGTACAGAAGACGCCCATATTATTTACCTATAAAATGAACCATGGTATGTTTATTTTGGACTTAATTTGCCTTTGTCAGAGCATTCGAAGGCGAAATTGGTATACTGTCGAAATAACGTTCATTGAAGTTTTTTTTTTTTTCTTTCTATCATTTTTAAGTGTGAACAATAATAGGGAGACGAATAATTTTCGTATAACATAACATCTATCATCTACGCGCATTCTGAAGGCTTGCGGAAATTCCCAGAGCGTAATAAGGTTGTTCATATATTGTAATGTGGTGGTAGTGTCCCAGTGAGGTAGGCCTATTTTGAAGGTAGATGGACCATTTTAGAAAATTTCTCTAGAACCCGATAAAATACAGGCATTCTGATTTCATTTCTGAATAGAACAGTCTTTCATCTGTTGCGTGGCGATTCCACATTTTTCGATTTCAACCCCTTTTTTGTGAATATTGTACGTAGACGACTTTTAGAGCACCAGAAAATGGGTATTTTTTTCACATAAAGGTCACTTTTACAAGAAGCACATAAAAAATTTCAAATGATCGCGTCAATGAACAGATCTACTATTCACATACAAAATGAGCCATATTACGTTATTTCGAACTAAAAATGCGTGCACTAAGCGTAAAAAAGTAGTGTACAGAAATATTGAGATTTTTTCATGTTCATATTTTCGTTATGGATAACAAATATGAACTTATCTATTATTGTTAAGATGAAATTATCCATTATTTCCTTTAATATTGCTATAATCAGAGGCGGGGACACAAGGGGAAATTTGATTGGCGACCCCGCCCCCCCCCCCCCTGCACGTTAAGACACAAGCAAAGCTAAAATCCTGTTTGATCAGACGTCAAAAACTCACGAAGGCTTTTATTTTGTATTGACTGCACAATATAAATACTAAAGTGAGCAGCCTTAATTTTTGTTACATTTGCCCCCCCCCCCCCAGATTTATTGTTGTTTCCCTCTGTGCCCCCACCTGAAAATTCTCTGGATCTTA